ACAACCTTCCCAAACAAGTGAAAATGTGTGAAATGCAGACTTTCGTGTTCTCGATTTGACGTCACATTACCCGCTAGAGCCATTCCTCTTTAAACTCGGTCATGGGGCAAGATGGCGGCCGATTTTCCGTATTTTGACTGGGCACAGAAAATTTAAGATTTGAGCAAATAAAAAAATTTTTGCATAGAAATGCTCCAAAAAATACGCTTATTTCGTTAAGCGAAAAAACATTTTTGGGTTTAGGTGCACTTTAAATATTTATAGGTTGTCAAACTGTCCACTTTGGCCTGTCAAATTACAAGTTTATCATCCAACAACTTGCCCGGGATATGCAGCTTCAGCTCATTTATTCCTTGCAGGAATAAATGAGTTAAACCCATCTTTTTGTGCGATATTATCTCACTGTGTTTGTATATGCTGACACAAGCAAGTATTCAAAAGGAGGTACATGCTTGTTTGTTCATAAATCATACCAGAGAACACGGAAAAGTGAACATCCCAGTAAGCTGTTCATAAAGTTTTTTTTCTGGTGTGTTGCAAAAATATTTGAAGGATACTAAACACAACAGCCTTCACTTCACTTGAAAATGTGCTCGTTTAGTGTTCAAAGAGATGCGTGAACTCTGATTGGTTGAGGATTAAGTCATATTTCAATATAATCCCCTCACATGAGGTGATTATAGCAGGGGCCTTAGCAATGATCTCTATTCTCTATACACCTACATAGTTGTCTTTAATCTCAGGGTGATTTGGGTCAAATCCTTCATCTACCACAGTGACCACAACACCTTGGCCAGTTATGCCCTTCTTCCAAACTTCAATCACATTGTAGGTTGGGCCATCATCTCTATTCTTGAATGCGAAAAAATCAAAAACAATTAACTGACAGGGAGGAGCTTACACCATAATCTGTTCATCTGATAACATCTGATTACAATTACTGACTAAATGAACATTATGTTGCATTATGGTGAAGTCTGTTGTTTGTTTGTCTCTCTTTTTTTTTAATAACTAAAACTATTAAAAGAAAAAGTTTTCCATTAAAATTCCACAAGCCAATGCCTCTTTCTCACTTGGAGAAAAGCAGTTTTATGATGAACAATTTTTGTTGACAACCGTATGAGAGTAAAATATGGTCACACTAGCGAGCATACATATTTAGTTAAAAGGTAATAATGACATGATAAGTTCACACTCACAATGTACCACATAGCTGTCCAATTTGTATCCCTTGGTGGGAATGTTGCTGTAGATTTTGATGTTGATGTTGATAGCCACTTACGAGTCTTTACTACCTGCTGCTGCACTGAATTAACCTGAGTGCAATACAACATGCACAAAAAAAAATAGCAGTGACAGGTAAGAAGAAATGATGACTGTGTTGCATTCTTTGTCATAAGTTTATGTTAATTACCTTTAACATGAAAATTTACACATTATTATATACGTTCAGTAAGCTAAGAAAGATTCACTCAATCTCTTTCTTTCCATGAAACTTACATTTGGCTCAGCAGAAATTCCCTCCTGCTCATGGGTAGCAGGTACTCTGGATTTTGTCATAACCTTCCTATGATGAAAACTGTAGTAATTATTCAGAATCTATTAAAAAAAAAAAAAGCAAGATAAATGTAGTGCTGGTGATAAAAAAAATGTATTGTCAGGCATGCAAGCCAGGTAGTGGTTTGATAGCTTAACTTACATTTTACATTACACTATTTATAGTCAAGTCTGTGTAATGATGGGAAAAAATAGAATGAAGAAATAAGCCCTGTAACAATATCTATGGGTTCATGAAGTGAAACCACCCTTGCGAAATGGATCTTGGAATTTCTAGGAATTTTTTCCTGGGAATTACCGGAAATAAGAGATGTGAATTTTCATGATGAATTTGGACTGGGAATTCCCAGTACTGTAATTCCTAGGAATTCCCGAAAAAACCTAGACATTCCAAAAAATTCCATGTTTATAGCCAATAGAACTTAGAATTCTAACTCAGAGCACCTGAATGACTTCCTTGGAATACTGTGAATCTAAAAACTCTCTGAAAATTTCTTAGCATTTTTAGGAATTTCTAGGAATGTTTAAGAGTTACTGGGAATTTTTGGAAAACTTTGAGGCAACTTATCAAAAAAATACATACATCTAAACTCCCAACTAAAAATTCAAGTAGTCAAGGAAATTTCTGGAAAGGAGCAGACTGACAGCAATTTTTATCAAAATAATGACACAGCTGAAACTAAATTTATAAGACATGTTTCCGTCATTCAACGACCATCTTCAGTTGAGTAGAACTGATTTGAAGTTAAATTTGAATTTATAATGTAGTGCTAAACAAAAGCTATTGAAACTAACAGAATAGCCAAAGGCAACAAAAGAATGTATAATATGACGTGCTAATTAGAACGAAAGAGTTAAATTAACGAGATATAGTTGCTTGTTTAAAGGAGGGAGCATCTTTGGTTCCCTTTTGCTATTGTTAGTTTCAATAGCTTTTGTTTGGCACTACATTATAAATTCAAATGTAACTTCAAATCAGTTCTACTCTCAACTGAAGATGGTTGTTGAACGACCGGAACATGTCTTACAAATTTAGTTTCAAGGAAATCTATTCACATGCTTAACTCACGTTTACATGTTAATTATTTGCTATTGTATATTAACATCAACATGTAGTAATATTAGGATGAAGTTTCTTTTTCCTTTCTTGAAAACTTCACAAAAATTATCCTCAATTACAGCTATTCATTTAAAATAGTCCTAGTGATTCATTAAATTTGGTTTGACACAAATTGTGAATAAAATCTGTTGATTCTTTTTCATGAAATGCAATAACTTGGGTTATGTTTATTGCAATAAATACTATCAGTCAAAAAATAGTCTTGAAAGGAATCATTTAACTTGGGATGATGATACAAATGATATTTTATCCTTTCCTCCCTGAGTCAGGCTTTGACTTAATTTAATGTGGTTGTATCTTCTTTGGGAAAAACTCGTGTGTGTTAAAATTCAAATGTAAGCTGTCAAGCAGCATCTTCATGCTACTCAATTTTGACTGAACACTCTTGGGAGTGGAAGACTTAATTACAGTTAAATAATTGATTTTTTAATTAATTATTGTTGTAACTGTAGTAATTAATTGCAATGAAGTTATCCCAAACTGCACACTAAGCAGCTGTTTCATTCCCAACTAGAGACACTGCTGATTTTCATGAAATTTGTTTTCTCTTGTACATTATTGAATGATGAAGTCCATTTTATAGATACTCTTTGTTTTAAACAATGAATAGTTTTTGTTAAATATCCCAACATTACCAGAGTCAGTTCTAATTTGCATGAAATTTATTGCTATGATTTATAAAATAATCCAATGATGGATTTCATTGTAAAATAATTTTTTTTGCATCAAAAGACAATTTAGAAGCAGTCTTTTATTGTACAAATTTTAGGCTATTTGTCATGGTCAGATGCACCAAATGAATTACTTGGGGTTGGGTTTGGGTGTCAATATTTTATAGGGGACCTAGAGTCCTATTATACTATCACCTGCCCTTGGGCGAATCATTAAATAAATAAAAATAAAATAAATTAATTAATTAAAGACATGAATTTCATACATTAGTTCGAATGCTTATCTGACTTGGCCAAGTACATAATACAGCTGAATGCATGCCATATGAGCTACAGTAGTGGTTGCATGCCTGTGAGTGCATATTAATTAACTTGGCTGCATGTGTGCATGCCATTCATTTATAATATCTTGAATACATTCTAAGTATACTTTATTTGTCAGTTTGCCACTAGTGGTTTTACTCATGAAGTATACTTGAAGTGTACTGCAAAATTTTCAGTACCTTTTAAGTATACTTCAAGTATACTTTTGGGTGTTCCCATTTCAGGTAGGAACAAGTATACTACAAGTACACTTTTTGTAGCTCTTCAAACAATACTTCAAGTCTACCAAAAGTATACATGGTATATCTTAGTTGTAGTACACTTTGATTACAGAAATAGTATACTAACAGTGTACTTAATTTTGGTAAGGGTGAGCCTGACACTCCGACAAACTTGAAATACATGCCTACGTCCTTAGTACACAGTTTGTCTTACCAATTGCTTTGCCAACTATGCATTTTAACATTTTTGGACTTAAAGGCATTCAGGGAAGCATAGTCTCTGGCCTACTTGGGTCATTAAGAAAAGAAGAAGTGTGCACACAAAGGTGGTTTTATTCCAGGTTTTGATGTTAACATTATTTAGTGGATTGTTGGTTATTTGTAACCTTTAAGAGCAGCTATCACACTTCTGTCTGATACTTTCTACCAAATTGATTGTTGACTCCCCCCTCCTTTCCTCGCCCCACCTTTTAGTAATAATCTGCACTTTTGCAATTGAACAATTCTAAGGTAGATCTCGATGAAGAGCCAGATATTACAATAGACAGCTGCAAGAGATTATGTATCAAATGTATGCAGTAAACCTAGAATAAGGTATGTAAGTAATTTCTATGTGCGTGTCAGGTTTTTAACCATTTTCTTTTTCCTTGTGTTGAGAGGAGACAATTCTAAGTATCATGGCAAAAGTTTGTGAACACCATGACAAAGGTTTGTAAACGCCACAGCAAAAGTTTGTAAACACCGCGGCAAAAGTTTGTAAACACCATGGCAAAGTTTGTGAACATCACAGCAAAAATTTGTGAATATAATGGCAAAAATTTGAAAATGCCACCGCGGAAGTGAAATTTAAAGCGGAAGTAAGGCTTGTGCCAGTTTTCTGTCAAGCAATGTAGCCATGTGACATTTGCTGCCATTGCTGTGGAATGTTTGCAGTGAAGTTGGTAGATGTGGCAAAATGGACAAGACGGGAGAAGGAAAAGAAAGCGAAGAGAGTGATTTTATGTAAGTATTCATCGCTTGTACACTTTTCAAGGTCATTAAGCCTGTGACTCACAAATAATTTGCCATTATCATTTGTTAAAAAATAAGCTAAATGAAAAACCTTTATTTTAGTTGTTGTACGCTTTGTTAATATTAAATATATAAAGTAAACATTCTTGTCATTTTGTACAAGACCACCAGACTCATTTACAGGTTATATCTGTCTGTCATTTTGACATATCCTTTTGTTGACATTTTAACACAATAATTCTGTTTATTTTTACAGGGCTTTTAAAATTGTGAATGCAGTTGAAAATATTTTTAGATTATGGCTGCTTGTGAACTGTGGCCAGTCAGAATCAAGTTCAAGTTGTTCTGTGACTAATAGAGACCCTTTTTGTATTCAGCAGTCAATCACAGGTTTTGGCATATCATTGGCTACAACCAAGATCCCAGAATTTTTTTTTGGCCCACATGGTTTTTATTAGCCACACTATAGTGCAGAGTGAAAATTTCTTAACATTTTTGGTTAAAAATACATTTGTACTCAAGTAAGTTTACTCATAAAGAGCTATGGATGGCATATTTCTAAATCAGTGGCAAATTTTTAAATGTTTTCTTATACCTCTCATGCCTTCATGAAATAAAAGTTGAACTTATTTTGTCAGTTACTCATTTAAGAGCCATTGGATGCACAGCCCAATAAAATGTTGTACAACTCTAAACCTACTCTCCAATTTCTAGGCCTCTGTAAGTCACAAGTAGGGAGAACATACTGGAAATACTCCTGATGTTCCTTTATTTCAGCTCATTCAACTAACTGCACTCTAGCATGTTCCATCTCATTATCAAGAATATGAGCTATCAGGTTAGGAGCCCCACTGTGATTCTCTGGTAAACAATACAAGGAATTGGATTGTCCAGGTATGGTGTCATGTCTTGACTTTCAAATGTAATGAGTGTTCCAATTCTCTTTAAGCTGCTTCACATCCTGCTGCAATAATTGTGCAAAACAGAACCACAAACACTCAGATTCTAGTTCACTAACTGGATTAAATGTTCCTTGGTCTTCTAAGTCTTGAAAAAGTTTATCCAGCAGTTTGTTCTGCTCCTTCCAGGGATTCTAGCATTATGCGCTGGTGCGCACCCGCATAATTTGTCAAATAAATCAATATTTATGTTACCTATCTTGGTGTCTGGCTTGAGTATTGTATTTATCCTTTTTCTACATTCATACAAAATACCAAAGTATCGTTTTAATTTAACAAAACAACCACATGGATACGAAGCCATTTTGTTTTTACAAAAACGACAAGGCGTTAATAAAAATGTCGGATGACGGCCTGGAACCGATATGAAGCTTGGCCCAGGTTCCAGCGTTTGGCGGTTTCCAAGATGGTGGACATTTACAAGAACTGCTTCCTGTTTCGGCCATATTATGGCTTTTGTTGGAAGGAGAAATTTATCAATAATGCATAATATTCCATTTTTTCATAAAAAGAAACAACAACTGAGTTTTCTTAGTGAAATTTGTTATATTTTAGGTTTTAAACGATGAAATCATCGTGCATAATTTCACGCATAATCTTCCTGCATAATCTTCCCTGAAAATCCTGCATAATTTTGATTTTTTTCGCACATAATGCCAGAATTCCTGTCCTTCTGAAGTAGGACCACCACGCCTCTTCTCTGGGAGGGAACGTAACCGTGGCTGTTTAAATGATC